TTACTCACATGTTGTACCAATTTGAAAGAGATGTTTCTGAAACCTCTGATAAACATGTATTGAATATGCAATGCATCTTTCAAAAATATGATTTTAGTTACTTATTTAATTTTGGCTGAAGATACAACTAGCTGACATTTTTTATAGACAGCTTGAAAACATTGTGAACTTAAATACAAATGTACGACAAATATAAGTCTACTTTATCATAACTGACATAAATGATTAAGTTTTTACCTAACATTTCAAGAAGGCTCTACTGCATATCTAGTGCTAAGGCCACACCAATTTAATTTCATGGTTAACGGAATTTTCTAGAAAAATAATGGAGCGGGCGGGCGAAAAAAAAATAAAAATAAAAACAGAAAAACAGGCCTAGGCATCCTATTATGGCCCAAAATGGTACGATAGGAGCCATGAAGTCAACACACCATGCTCGTTCAAAATTTAAACAGTGAATTTTGTACTTTTAACGATACCATTGCATTGAAAGATGGAATAACTGTAACAACTAGGATGAAAAGGACTGTTTTCAACTGTTCAGGGCAAAATATGAGCATTTTGCAGTTGATTCTAAATTTTTATTTTTATTTGCAAATCAGAAAAAAATGAAGCGGGCGAATCCGTTAACCAAGAAATTAAATTGGTGTGGCCTAACCTTTATCTATATGCAAAAGCATCTCTGTTTGCCATTACCAGTTTGGGGTTCCTGACATTGATTTGTACCAGTGTAGGCACATGGAAGGATTGAAATATGGAAAACACACACTCAAAACTCTTCAGGGATTCTAGATCAATACAGGTGAATTTGGCATAATGATGCAGTGGATTCCTAAGTGAACAGTCAGCCCATCTATTTTGTCAAGCTGTGCAATATCCTATGTTTGAAAAGTCCTTTATTTCATGAAATCATTGTTGTTTTTTTGTATTAGTGGGGATGGAAGCATTATGTAGTTGCTGTCAAAAATTTAGTCAAATTAATGAATCTCACTTTCACAATGCTTTATACTAACAGTTTCTTATCTTTAAATTTTCTTTGGTTTTGATTATTAGCCGCTGCATTCTATGATATTGTAACCAAATATTATGGCATTATATATATAAAATATCCCATATAAAAACTAGCCATACTTTTGTTTATCAAAGCCGAGCTTATTGTTTTCCATGTACTTTTTTGTCTATTCTATATTTATTTCTTTTTCTTACATAAGATTATTGGGCAAAAAACACTTGCCATACATGTAGTATTGAGGTTTTTCTCAGTTTTCCTTTCAAGGAACCTAAACCAACCAATGGTTGTGATTTCATATGCATTGTAGCTTTAACCTTTAACCGGATATTCTTATTACATTTCACGAGAGGATGTTGGAGACAAATTCCATTTTCTCTCGTCATCCATTCCATAGGGTATAGAAAATGTCATTGATGGAATGCTCTGTATTCCAACCACAGCTAGCACGGCTGGTAATCAAATAAGTCTCAGACTTGGTGATCGCTAATTGATTCATGTATGCATTTTACTTTACCACTGTCTGTAAGAAAGATGGATAGAAGATGGCATGTGGAATATTTGATGCATATGAATCTGCAAAATGCATTATCTACAGTGATCATCTTGCATATGATTATGAGATGCCTGAGTACAGTACTGTAACTACAAGTTGTTGTATTAGGCCACACCAATTTAATTTGTTGGTTCTTGGATTTTTTCAGAAAAAATATGAAGCGACAGGGCGAAAAAAAATAAAAATAAAAACAGGTCTAGGCATCCTATTATAGGCTTAAATGCTACAAAATGAGCCATGAAGTCAACACAAAAGGCTGGGTTAAAATTTAAACATTGAATTTTGAACTTTTAATCAAACCACTGCAATGATAGATGGGAAAACTGTAACAACTAGGAAGAAAAGGACTTTCCTCAACTGTTGGGGAAAACATGAGCATTTTTCAGTTGATTCAGGACCAGAATCAAATTTTTTTTTTTTTGCAAATCAGAAAAAAAATGAAGAGGCGAATCCGAGAACCAAGAAATTAAATTGGTGTGGCCTTATTTGAAAGGTTAGAAGGTAGGTAAATATTCTATGAAGGGATCACTTAATTTTTAACATGTCCTTGGAACAAATGGAAAGTCTGCGTAATAAGCTTTCCTTCTTAGAGTTATTTTTGGACTAACTCAAAGTGCTGCATATGCAATAAATATGCCTTGGCTTGTAGAAGGTTAGAATAATATTATTGTTTTGCATGTCTGTTAGAATATGGTTTTCCAGGGCTCGAAATTCACTTTTGGGAATAGATGCACTAGTGCACCCAGCCAGAAAAATTGGGTGCACGGGAAATTTTCGGGATGCACCATATGAAATAAATTCTCATACAACAAAGTCTTTATTATTTTTTGACATTTAGTTGTCCAGAATTTACTGTATACTAGTATACATTAGATATCTTCACATGTATTAACCTATGAAAATATTTGGGTGTACTGGTGTACCAATAGAAAAAATTGGGTGCACAGCTCCAATTTTGGGTCACCCAGTATTTCGAGACCTGGTTTTCTACAGTTTAAGATATGGTTTTGCACTAATGTCAGTTTACAATATGATTTACACAGTTTGGAATTGAGGTTTGTTTGATTTCCAACATAAGGTCAGTATCGTGCTCAGAAACTGAAAATCACTACTACATTAACGAGACAAATGGCTCAGATTGAATTACCAAATATTGCGCAGACCATATAGGTTAAATAGTGAAACCAAGATGGAACCCATTTGGTGTAATCAATAAGAGTCCATTTCTTGTGCTCAGACCTTAATGCTGTGCACTTCTGAATCTATTCAATGAAATAGGGCCACACCAAGTAATTTTATTGATGACGTCCTCTGGAGACTCTAAATCTAATGGGAGAGTGCAAAAAAACAAGAAGGGGAAAAAACAAGATGTCTAGATTTAAAGTGTACTAAGGGACGCCAAATGTTAGGACACAAATTGAATGAGAGCACAGAGTAAGCTGTAACAACCAAGAAGTCTTTTATTTGTCATGAAAACAGAAGTAAATCAGTGGAACAGCAATTGTCATCCTGTCCTGTTTCTTGTGCTCATATTTTGCATTACAGGTTTTACGTTAATACAATTTGCAGCACTCTCATGACTTTTTGGTCATGGTTACAGGAAGCACAATTTCTTTTTTTTCTGTGTACAGGCCGAAATCAATGCGTGCGCTGACGGCATCCATAAAAATTACTTGGTGTGGCCTAAAATGGGTTGAGTATTATCTATGACTTTTCAAGGAAACAAAAATCAGATGGACATTGGAATTTATTGGTAGGAGACACGTGTGAACCAATGCACTGTGGAGGAAGTATTGCAGCTTCAATATGCCTTCTTGCCTTGTTCAGAACAGAAGTTTGTAACTGTTATGTTTTAAATGTAGGCCACTACTATTATTTTGTATAGAGGACCACTTTTTCAGCACCAAGGACAGTGCTTGAATAAAGGCTGATTACAGTATTACTAAATGGTGGTTACAAAATCCTATCATGGAACATATGACATTGTACATATGAAAAGTAGGCCACTGCCACGGTTATGTTTAGAGGACCACTTTTTCAGCACCAAGGACAGTGCTTGAATAAAGGCTGTTAAGAGGATTACTAAATGGTGGTTACAAAATCCTATCATGTGACATCATGTGTACATATGAAATGTAGGCCACTACCATGATTATGTTTAGAGGACCACTTTTTCAGTACCAAGGACAGTGCTTGAATAAAGGTTCTTGATTATTAAATGGTGGTTACAAAATCCTATCATATAACATCATATGACGTTGTACATATGAAATGTAGGCCACTACCATGATTATGTTCAGAAGACCACTTTTTCAGTACCAAGGAGAGGACTTTCTTGGAATATTGAATTAATCCTAACCCTCTTTTTTTTTCTTCAAATTCTTAAACTGGGGACTATCATTCTGTTAAACTAAAATGTGCATTGATCTGGCCTGGCCTACATGTAGTTTGATAGATAGTGGCTCTACCCTAACCATTAGTAAGGACAATAATCAGGCACCCTCACAGGATTAGACCTACATGTTTCTGGCTTGTTTTTGTCATATTTTAGTTCATAACATGAGCATGACGCTTAATGCACAGAAGCAATTTAGTGGGCCAAAGAGGTAGTGTAACTTTTTGCATGAGCAAAATGACAAGTCCTTATTATCTGCCATTGTACCTGTTAGTGTTACAGTCATTGTTCAATAAACTTTGATGACTTTGACTATAATTATGTTCACTGAAAGAATGATTATGGTTTTATCATAATCATAAAGTTTTAGAGGAATATTTTATTAGTTTTTCCAATTGGCGCAAAGCAGAATGATATCATTAATATTAGATTTTCAATTGAAATCATTGAATTTTCATCATAGAATCTACTTTAAAAGGTCTTAAACCCATTTACATGTCATTCATTAATTTTAAAGTGATAAAACTTGCAGCTAGAAATATAAGCAAAGTAATTAATTAATATACATGTAAGTTGAATTGAATGAGTTGCAGCATTGCCTTAGCAATGAAGTGATAGAGAATCTCTTTATCCTTTGAAAGCTTATTGCCCAAGGACTGGATTTTGGAAGCCCTTTTTTAAAACACCACTCTTATCTCCACCAATACATCGAAAGAGCCCAGTATAACTATAAGGTGCAAAGTACCAATTACTTTGCAAATTTATAGTTCATATATTATACAATCTAAGTGGCTGTGATATAGTTCTTGTTATGCTATTATATATTGTTTTTCAAAACCATCAGAACTACATGTCCAAGTATCGATTTAAGATTTTGCACCTTCTTGTATAGATCTTTTGATTCTTCTTGAAAATATGTTGCTATCGCTTAGAATCAATTCCTAGTTACATGTAGATAGTATGTTTCCCACTTTCTATACAATATAGTGTATTTATATATAGACAGGTAAATAAAAGAATACTGTCTGTCTGTCTTACAGCTGGTGGCTGGCAGGTGAAAAACATCCAAGATGGCTGACACCTCGCCTGAGCAGCCGCCGACCGGGTTTAACGGTCCGTCCGTAAAAGACAGCGGGCTCGCAGACGGGCAGCAGACCAACGGAGTCAATGGGATGGGGTCACCTGACCTGGCTGACGCCATGAATCATGTCAACATCAATGGTAAGTTCTAGAAAGCCTTTGAAAACTGTCACACAAGGTCAATCAAGGTTATATTTTAATGAGTCTTACTGTATCTGTTTCCCTTTTATTGTAATATTTTCTCCAACAGTTGGTCGTTATAGATACGAAGGGATGATGTTTAAGTTCTAGAAAGCAGGCCTTTGAAAATTGTCAATCATCTGTTATATTCCAATAAGTTTTACTGTATCTGTTTCCCTTTTATCTCAATATTTTCTCCAACAGTTGGTGGTTATAGAAATTGAAGGGATATGATTATGATGTTGAAACATATATTTTATATAGTGCTGGTAAGATTGAATTATAATGTTTCACTAACTCATTTTATCCACGTAAATGTACATATACATAATATTATGTTACATGACTTGTATAACTTCTACATATATGTTTAATGCCTAGCCATTATGTGTTGTGTACTGTACTGTAAGTACTGTAGTAGATCTTTTTTCCCAGGTGATGTTTTCTAGTATATGTAGCATAATACTTTCAGTAGTTATCTTTTTCAGACAAAGAAAGTGCTTCTAGCCTGTAAACCTGTTTAAATTCCCAGTGAACCAGTGTAAAATACATGTTATCCATAGAGTGCTTTGATAGAAAGTAACAAGTAGCTGTAAAATACTGCCAGATGTATATTGTAACTGTTATAGTAAATCAATAGTCATTGATTATGTAACTTAGGCCAAAGTTGGAATAGGAATGCTGTCTGATCTTGAAGAAAGTCAGAAAAAGGAGTAATGACCAAGTTTTATATATTTAGTAACAAGAAGAATCATTAATGAAATGTAATGGTCAATGGAAAAGTGAAAATATGCACATGTTCATTAATTATGCACATATTCATTACTTATTTGACTAATTATGGCTAAAATCATTAAATGAACAAATTATCGGCAAAGAACCTATAAAACTTACAAGTTATCGAAATTGCTAGAAGATATAAGCAATTATCATCGTAATTAAAAACATTAAGTTGCATACAATTGATCAATCATTTTCTTGAACCACCTCTCATCAGATACACTTGGTAATGCATTTCACAACTTTACAGATCTGTAGGTTTTTATGGTTACTAGTAAGTCTAGTTTCTTGTGCAGGAAAGTAAGCCACTGGCATGCAGCAATGTTGAACGTCTAGGTTCAGTACAATTACTGCGGAAAACCATTATAACAAGTTGACCTTCCCTCATTCTAATGGCTCTTTCCCTCTAGGAGATAGGGTATCACTGATGTCAACAACATTGCCGTTTGGCTAATGTCTTCTCCCTCCTTGCCTCAAGCAGAAAATTGGATCGACGCGATTCAATGAACTTGACTCTGACCTTTTGGGATTGCTTGGTCAAGATTACAGCGATTTTCAGAGCAGAGCTAGGGATGGTCGATAGTGTTTTAGGCCTAGGAAAAAAATGTTGTGTTTCTTGTTTCAGTCCTGAAAAAATTAGGATCGGTAGGTAGGGATTATCTTTTTTTCTTTCTTTTTTTGTATTAGACAATGGCAATCTCTAGTGACCTAACTTATACAATACAGTTAATATAACAAAGCAAAACTTGCATGAGGACACATGTCAATGACATGCATGTCAATGTTGTACAATGTTTCATCACTCAGGTGTCTGATCATGGAACTACATGTAGAAAAGGTCAGTCAGCTTGAAAAATTTGTGTCCCCTGTAGGGGTTGTCACATAAAAAAAGGCTACTAGTAGGGTCGACATTTTTTTTCTAGGGTTGGCCGGGAGACAGGAAACACATTTTTTTTTCCTAGACCTAATGATGGTCGATAGCGTTTTACTGTTCCTCATTACCACCAGGCTTATAATGCTGACATCTCAAAGCACATGTTGCCCTTGACTTCATTTAACATTATTGTCTCTAACTTTAAAGCATGTGCATCACTATGGCTTTTAACTGTCTTCTGCTTCAATATGTACAAATGTACACATAGGGTTGGCTGGAATAAAATTATTCATACCAAGGTTAGGCCTGGTATGTTGACTTCATGGCTCCTATCGTACCATTTTGGGCCATAATACGATGCCTAGGCCTGTTTTTATTTTTATATTTTTTTCGCCCGCCCGCTCCATTACTTTTCTAGAAAAATCCGTTAACCAAGAAATTAAATTGGTGTGGCCTTATTGAGAGAAAATGCAGATTCAATGGTTCATTTTCTAAACCAGTGAAAGCATTCAAAGGCAAGGCATTGTGTTCAGGAAGGTGTGATCGATGTGATTTTTGTAGGCCTCTTTAAGAATTGAATATAATCATTATAATGGTAAGATAGCAGAACTGCATACATGTACATTGTAAGTGTGTGTGTGTGTACATGTACACAACGATTACGTGTATACAATATAATATATATGTATGTATTATGTGTGTTTGAATTGTGCCACATGTACTGAAAATTTGCTTGACAATATTAGATTCTGCAATCCAGTCTTCCGTCAGTTCAGTACTGTGTGTGGTTCATTGACATTGATATTTTCAGATTGCCATGAAATTCCTGAAGCTTATACCATAATTGAAGAAGATTGTGGAGTCAGAATGTTCGATCAATAAGTAGCACCAAAGGGACCCACAGCCACAACAAATTTGTATTGATTGTGTCTGAATAATTGTTGTGTATCATGTGAAGATGTGCAGTCAACTGGAAACAAGGCGAAGGCACTGACACCGTCAGTCTATACAAGTTCTTATATTTAGATTGTAATATATGCCAAAAAACAGTTACTCAAGCAGCTGGATATGATTTTGAAACCGTCAGACGTTTCAGCTAGTATCCACTAGCTTTCGTCAGTGACTGAGAGACCAGAGGGGAAAGCAGGTTTATATACACAACCTGTTGATTGATATGCAAATAAAGTGAAGACAAATTTTTGGAAGTCGAAAAAGGAACAAAAGTCAGACAAGTCAAGACAAGATGATGCAAATTAGTCTGAAAGCTCCTGTTATACAGGACAGGAGCTTAAGTGTTGTCTGTCCTCGGGGCTGGGAGTGCCAAATCCCAAGTGCCGGAAAGATCGACCCGTAGCCCCCCTTCCCTGTTGAGGGTGGGGTTGTACATTCTGGGGTTGTACAACCTGCTTCCCCTCTGGTCTCTCAGTCACTGACGAAAGCTAGTGGATACTAGCTGAAACGTCTGACGGTTTCAAAATCATATCCAGTTGCTTGAGTAACTGTTTTTTGGCATATCGTATTACCTGGATGTCTAACCTTCATCGACGTAGATTGTAATATAGTTATTCATTGTACAATGCTAATGATTTGAACTGGTGGTCTGGTATCTAAGCTATTCTTGGTTGGATTTTGAGACCATGCTTTGTGGAATATTCTGCCCTGAATACTTCTGATTTAAAAAATTATGCATAAATTTCATATAATATCATCATTCAAATTAGGTGGTTCTGATTCATGCACATGAAGAAAGTATTCAAAACTTGTATCACACAAAGCAAAATTTATCTTTTTTAAAATCTTCTTGCATGGCATGCAATACTTTAAAAGTGGAAAGATCAAAGTTACATGTATGTGCACAATTCCATCTGAAACTGCACATTACCTTTTTATCCTTTATATAGAGTCCATTCCGCGTCACCGAGTGGGTTGTTATTGTCATTATTTAGAAATGTTTTGAATTCTTTGTAATTGTTTGTCTAAGAAATTTCATAATTTGGAAATATTTTGAACATCTTGTCAATATTCTAAATAATTCCCTGGTTTTCTAAAACGTTTGAAATATTCCTGATGTGGAATATGACATTTCCAATAGTTTCTAAATATTTCTAACAGCACTCTACCATTTTTTACCATTATTTCGAATTATTTCTAACATTTTGTAAATAGGTCAGTGGGATGGGAAGGAAGTAATTCACACATCCCTGTGAAGTACAGGGTAGACTGCCTGGGTGTCAGGCATTGATGCCTTACAACAAAAGAGCCACCAGTGTCCAGCAGTGCACATGAAATCTAAAAATATACAGAAGAATACAGAAGAGAAGGATTAGCACCTACTTATATGGGGGCAATTACCCACATCTACCATTTTTCATTTGTTTGAAATAGTTCTAAATATTTCGAATAGTGAAAGAAACAAATGGGTAGTTCAAATTTATTCTAAATAAAGAGATCTTTGTACAGTCACTTTCAAAATGTTTCAGAAATATATAAATGAATTCAAATATATTCAAATTTTCATTTTCAAATTTTTGAAAAATTTAGAACTTTTGTTACTAGGGTATTCTTTTCTTCTAAATAATTCAAACGTATTAGAAACATGGAGAAAAAACCCACTCGGTGACGCGGAATCGACTCTAGCTACATTTTCTTTAAATATGCAAATGTTCTTCAAAGTACAAGTACAAAATGCTCTGAAAGCTTTAATGCATATTTGGCTTCTGTATTCTTGGCAACAATTTCAGCCTAATGTAGGATCAACTTGCTAGGGCAACTGCAAATTGTAATAACCAGAAGTGGCATCGTTAACTGTTCCGTGAACAACATCGGTATTGGCAATGTGCGTTAGTCAAACATGGTTTCTCAAAGCCTATCGACTGCTGAACTGATCTCTGACATTCATGCCCCACCTACATGTAGTAAGGCCATGTTGATTTGATTATATGGATGATATCCTCTGGAAACCCCAAAACTGATGCGAGCGCGCGAATAAAAAAAAAAGTTTTGCAAAAAAAAAAAACTTGCTTTCATGAAATCTACGTTGTTATGAAGGTCGAACAAATGACACAGAGTATGGTATGGCGAATAATCTACTCTTTAAATTCATTTCTTTGCATTTTAGTTTTTTGTTTGATTTTGGCATTCTACGACGTTGGAATCGTTTTCAAATATTTTTTTTGCAATTTTCGGTATATATTTGCTCATTTTGCAACTGTTTTGTACAATTTACAGTGTGGTTGGAAACTTCTTTTTTTTTGGAAACGGCCGAAAATTCATGCGCGCGCGGATGTCATTCATATAATCAAATCAA